GGGGGGGGCCTCCTAGAGTCTGGGGGCTGTGGCCGTCATTCGCTGGCTCGCACTCATAGCTGCATCTGCCTCCCGCGCTGTGGTGCCCGCGCTCCCTCAGCTGTCAGTCTTTCTATCAGACCCCTCACGAGCAGCAGGCCCACCCTACTCCGGTGTGGCTGCCTTAGACTCAACTGGTAATAAAAGAAAAAACCCTGTTTCCTCCAGCAAACTCACAGACGGCAGGTATAAGGAGCTGGATGCCAATACAGCTTTTGAGCGGGGCCGTAATTCAATCCCTAGAGATGAGATGAGGTCGCAACTCAGCAAAATAGGAAGTGGGTTCCCTCTGAATGCCAGAGAGACCCCCTCCGTGTGATTGGACAGGGTCTCTGAGGAAGAGCGCAGCAAGCGGAGGCCCAGGCAGCCGGAGGGGCACTGAGCTGTGGCGAGCAGCACGCTGGCGGAGCCTGGGGCGGAGAGAGGGAGGCAGCGAGGCAGCGGAGGGAGCATCAGGTCTCCTCCTCCTGGGTCTCCGGCCTGGAGGGATTTGGACTGGTGCCCACTGCGGTGGGTGCAAGTACTGGGGAGGAGACGAGCAGGGTGAGCACCGGGAAGAGTCCCTAAGGAGCAGTGACTGTCCCCGCCTTTCCTCGACTTCACCCTCTTCCCCTTCGCTGGTGGCCTGCTAGCCCGTGGCTTGTCTCCTGCTGTCTCCCCACACAGATGTACAGACCAAGATCGAGCCTCTCTCTCCGCCCTCTTCCGTGCACTCGGAGCCTTCCCTGCTCTCAGCGGAAGCCCCCAGCCAGGTGAGCCGCTGCGGCCCGGCCTCCCCCTGCCTGTCGGCTGCGGGTACTCCTGACTGACCTCTCCCTGGAATGCCCCGATAGGCCCTCGTAGGAGAGGAGGTCCTGGAAGTGAAGACAGAACCCACCACCCCTCCGGGGTGCCTCCTTCGGGATGTCCCGACCCCCCCGTTTGGAGCTGCCCAGATGAGCATGGGCCTGGCCCCTGAGGACTCCTCAGGTAACGGGGCCTCCTCACCCCTGGGGTCCCTGGCAGGAGGCCTGTGGGCCTGACCAGCTTCCTCCCTCCCTCCCTCTCACTCTGCCTGTAGGCAAAGCCCTGCCCACCCGGAAGCCACCACTGCAGCCCAAGCCTGTGATGCTGACCACCGTCCCACTGCCGCCCAGAGCCGTGCCCCCCAGCACCACCGTCCTCCTGCAGCGCCTCGTCCAGCCCCCTCCAGGTACTGAAGAGGGGGGGACGGGGGTGAATAGGCCTCCTTCAGGAGCTCACGGCTGCTGAAGCTCCCAGCCCTGGGTGGGGGTATACATGGGAGCCCCGCCTGACTCGGGGCTCTCTGCCCCTGCTCTGTTACCCAGTGTCCCCAGTCGTCCTGATCCAGGGTGCTCTTCGAGCCCAGCCGGAGGGCTCCGGCCCCGCTGCTCCACGGCCCGAGAGGAAGAGCATCATCCCAGCGCCCACGCCGGGGACCGCTCGCCCTCCCGAAGTCGATGTAATTGTTGGGGCGAAGAGCAGCCTTAGGGACAGAGACAGAAGAGGAAAGTCCGTTCTGGGCGGGGACGTTAGGAAAGGACCAGACACCTCGGAGCAAAAAGTGAAGAGGATCCCGGGGCTCCAAGGGGACCCTTCTCTCTGAATTTTAACCCCATGTGGTGTTAAGCGCCTGTGGTTTGCTGTTGCTGCGGCTGGAGCAACGGGGTGGCCTGCAGTAAAGCAAAGGCAGGGACCTCACACTGTGTTACGGTTCAGGCAACTGATGGGGGTGAGGGAGGCTGCGTCCTAGGGGAACGCCAAGTAGGGAGTTCTTTGGTTACAGCAAAGCAAAGCTTCGGGCCTTCGAAAGCAGGCCTGGGGCAAAGGACAGCCAGCCAAGGAGAGGAACGAGGTTCTAGCAAGACGGAGGAAGTCCCTCCTGCAGTCTAACCTCCCAGCTTGGAGGAGCGAGAGTAGAGAGTGGTTGAAAGCCAGGCCCCTTCTCTGGAAGCTTTCCCAGTGAAGGGGAGACCCCTCTGGGCTGTGTGGGTAGGGTTGGTAAGGCAGTGGGAGGGCCCGTGTTAGCAGGGATTGGTCATCCTCTGGCCCTGAAGGCCTGGGCCCCTCCCTCACCCACCTCCACTCTCTCCGGGACCCCCGGTGCCTAGGCGAAGCTGCTGAAGCGGCAGCAGCGGATGATTAAGAACCGGGAGTCAGCCTGCCAGTCCCGCAGGAAGAAGAAGGAGTACCTGCAGGGGCTGGAGGCCAGGCTGCAGGCCGTGCTGACCGACAACCAGCAGCTCCGCCGCGAGAATGCCACGCTCCGCCGGCAGCTGGAGGCCCTGCTGACCAAGGTCAGGCTGGTCTGTCCCTGGCCAGAGTGGGTGGGGGGGGGGCGGCGAGGCCTGCAGAAACACGGCTGCCTCACCCTCCTCGCTGTCTCTGCTCCTAGAACAGCGAGCTCAGGCTGGGCTCTGGGAACAGGAAGGTGGTCTGCATCATGGTCTTCCTCCTCTTCATTGCCTTCAACTTTGGGCCTGTCAGGTGAGAGAGCTCCTCCCCGCCTGGCCTCCCTGCACTCACCCACGTGGTGGTGGTGCCGGCTTATGGTGGTGCCCGGCCCGGGGTGCCTCCAGCCAGCGCTCCCGCTCCACGGGGGGCATGCATCTGTGTTTCCTCCTGGCCCAGAGGGCTGCTGGTGCTGCTGCTGCTGCTAACCACGGTGGCTGTGAAGCGCTGGGTTCCAGGCTGCCGCGTCATGTCTCTGTTTCTCCCGTTTCCTGGCCCTCCGAGCCACGTACTGTTCTCCTTGCCACACGCCAGGAGGGGACAGGCTGGTGCACGGATCGGGCCCAGGCCGCGCTCTCACTCAGACCCCCTGACGCACGGTCCCCCTCGTGCACTGTGCTTCCTTGCCCGCAGCATCAGCGAGCCCCCCTCCGCTCCAGTCTCCGCTCCAGGGAGTGGGGAGGAGGCTCGGCCCCGGAGGCACCTGCTGGCTTTCTCAGAGCAAGAACGGGTTCATGGAGCTGCACCCCCCACCCGGGGCTCCTCCCAGGGACCCGAGGGCCCCCAGCCTGGCCCTGCTGGCCGACCCAGCTTCAGGTGAGAAGAGAAAAAGAGGACCCCCCCCCCCAGCCTTTGCCTCCACCCAAGCTCCCTGTCCTTTCTGGGGAGGAGGGCTATTGTCTTGCCTCCCTGCTCTCGGTCAGTGGGGGAGTGCTGGCGACCCCTGATTGCCTTCCCCTGGCTGCACCCAGGAACCTGACAACCTTCCCAGGGGGCGCCAAGGAGCTGCTCCTCAGAGACCTGGACCAGCTCTTCCTTTCCTCCGACTGCCGCCACTTCAACCGGACCGAGTCCCTGAGGTGGGGATGGGTTGTGGCTGGGGCTCAGAGCTTCCCGCTGCCCACCACCCCTCCCACCCTCCCTTCCCAAGGCCCCTCCCTGCATGGCCTGGCTGGCCTCCATGGGGGGAAGTCCCGGCCTCCTTGCCCTCGGCCTCCTTCCCATGCTCAGGCAAGGAGCCTCGCCTGGGGCCTCACCCTCCTGCCTTCCCAGGCTTGCAGATGAGTTGAGTGGCTGGGTGCAGCGCCACCAGAGGGGGCGACGGAAGACTTCCCCAAGGGCCCGGGAGCGACAGGTAGGGACTGGAGCTGCTTCACAGTGGCCACGGGCAGGCAAGGGCACAGTCCTGGGGACTTTCAGCGGGCGTCTCGTGGAGGCGTGAGGGGTCGTTGGGGGGAGGTGGAGCGGTGGGAGTGAGGTGGCGTCAGCTTCCAGGGGCTCTCTGTCTTGCCCTCCGCCCTCCCCACATCCTTAGATAACTCTCCTTCCAGAAGTCTCAGCTACGGAAGAAGTTGCTTCCTGTTAAGCCCATCCCCACCCGACCCCCCGGCCCCCCAGAAAGGTGAGGAAAGGGGTGCTTCTTGATGGAGGGAGGCTCACGCTCACTGTGAAACCGCTGCCCCCCAGCTGTCGGCACTGTTCTGCCTGAGTCCTCCGGGGCCTCCTGCCTCGCTTTCTCTGGCACCCCACCCACCCCCGCCACACCCCCACACCGTGGTGGGATCGGCACCTGCCCTTAGGCCTGCCCACTTTCTGTTTCCCACCTGCCTAGGGGCTCTGTGGGCCAGCTGCAGCTGTACCGCCACCCGGACCGGTCCCAGCCCGAGTTCCTGGATGCAATTGACCGGAGGGAAGACACATTTTACGTTGTCTCCTTCCGGAGGGTGCGTCTTCCCGCCCCATCCCCATCACTCTGACTCCCCCTCTTCATCAGAGGGAGGGTGGAGAGAAGGGTCAGGACATCTTTCCCTCCTCCTCCTCCCCAGGACCACTTGCTGCTCCCAGCCATCAGCCACAATAAGACCTCCAGGCCTAAGATGTCCCTGGTGATGCCTGCCATGGCCCCCAATGGTAACTCAGTCCCTGCAGGGTGTGGGAAGGGAAGGCCGGGAGTTCCAGGGAGTTCCAGGGAGGGGAGCCAGCTTGGGGTTGGGAGAGGGGTGGCGCATCCCAGAGAAGAAAGGGGCTCCCAGGTCAGAAGCAGAAGGACATGGCTGGAAAGGAAAGCAAAGCCAGGTGACGGGCAGTGGGCGAGATGGCCTGCCTTTGGGCAGGGTGCTTGGCTGATTGGTTGGGACCCGCCAGGCCCTCACTTCCTGTTTTTCCCCTTTGACTCCCTCACCTGCATGACCTGACTCACTGATGCCATTTCTTTCCATCTCCTCGCCGCCGCTGTCCCCTTCAACTCCTCTGGAACGGCCTCCTCCTGCCTGCCCTCTGCCCCTTTGTGTGCCCCCCCCATTTCACAGAGACCCTTTCCGGCCGGGCGCCCTCCGGGGACTACGAGGAGATGATGCAGATCGAGTGCGAGGTCATGGGCACCAGGGTGATCCACATCAAGACCTCCACGGTGCCCCCCTCGCTCCGAAAGCAGCCCGCCCCAGCCCCCGGCAATGCCACCGGGGGGCCCTTACCAGCTCCTGCAGACCACCAGCCCCTCTACCTCAATCACCCCTGACCTCAACAACTCACACTGACTTCGCATTGGGGAGTGGGAGGTAGGGTGACCCAGCGGGAATATTGTTCATCCCCCACTCTCCGGGCTGGAGGCAATCAGTCAGGGATAGACGGGGTCTGGGGGTCAAGCACTTATTTGGAGGTGGGGGTTCATCTCTCACCCCTTCTTCAGAAGATACTGCTCCTTTTCTTTCTACGGCCCCGGCCCCTGCTTCCTCCTCTGAGGGCATTAAGTGAGCGGAGGGTTGGGGTGGGCTCTTGCACCCTCCGGGTCCGAGGAGGGACCAGGGAGGTTTGACGGCGTGTGTGTTCTAGAGCCGGGGATTGGGAACAGGGGGGTTGGTGGGGAGATCAGATTGATGGGTGTGCTTGTCTTCTTTTTTATTAAATCAACACCTTGGAAGGATTCGAAGGAATGGTGGCTGCCTTCCTGACTCGGGTCTGGGAATTTGTCCTAAAGTGACTTTATAGGGACCAGCATCAAAGAGCCAAGTCCCAGCTGGCTGGGTGGGTGTGTTTGGGGGGGGCGGTGTGCACAGGATCACAGGCCTCATGTCATTCCCTGCCCCCACACCTGTAATGGGGGTCTGTCTGTCTAGCAGCATTAGGGAGTGGGTACCCAGGGGACTGTCTCATGGTGATCTCTGGAATGTGAGTAAGCAGGAAGGTGGGGGTGGGGGTGGGGGGCACACCCTCAGGGTAGACAGCAGCCCCACCTCCCTCCCTCCATGGCTGTCCGCAGGCAAAAACAGTGAAGGCACAACAGGAGATGGGGCCAGATGGGCCCTGAGCCAAGGATAGTGGGCCACCGTGGAGAAGGGTGGTCTCAGGGAAGGGAGAGGGGAGGGGGACCTTGGGGGTGGGGGGTACCTGCTGAGCACGGAGCTAGAGGAGACACTTGAGAATCCAGGTGACAGGACAGGTGTAGCCGAGCAGGCTGTGCATTCTGAATGGGGAGGAGGCAAGGGAAGGGTGAGGGGCCAGGTCTCAGGCCCAACCTGCGGAGACGCCTGGCCCGCAGCGCCTCAGGCCTGACCCCGCAGGAGTGTCTTGGGTCAGCTGGAGGGTGTTGGCTGGGCCTGGGCACAGCGCCCAGATGACTGGACAGGGGCCGCCGGGCCACAAGCCCAGCCTAGAGGAGGAGGGGAGGCCCTCACGTGTCCAGCCAGGCTCTCCCCCAGCCCATTACTGTGTTTGGGGTGAAAACAGACAGTCACTATGGCAACCTGGACCTGGGGCTCCCAGGAACTAGGCCTCTCCTCCCTCCAGAGGGCAGCCCTGGCTACTCGGGGCCAGCGCTTCCGCAATGTCACGGCCTCCCCCAGGCAGTGTGTGTCATGCAAGGGGAGCCAGGACTTCGGAGGGGTCAGTTAGAGGCCTGCCTTGCCTCTGATTGGCGGGTGTGCTACAGGCCTTAGTCTCCTCGTCTGCACAGCGGGATCTGTGGATCTGGTCAGGGTGAACATGACCAGTACAGTGCCCGCCTGTCATCGAAGCATCTTTTCCAACAGCATCCAGTCTTTTTCCCTCCTCCTCGGACCCCTTCTTGGTCCTGTGGCTCCTTCCCCTTGTCCCCCACTGGGGACAGGGCTGGCAGCTCAATCTGGGGCTCGGCCACAGGTTGCTCTTGGCTGTGTGGAAGGAGCAGCTGACCCTGTGAACAGGGCGCTCTTGGCTGAGGGAGTGGGGTGGTGGGAAGGAGGTATGGTGAGCGGGTGGGCTGAGATACAGATCGTGAGGCCGGGGTGCTGCCCTGCAGACCGCATTCCTCAGACCACAGCCCCCTCATCCAGGGCCGCCCCCCATGTCCGGACCCCTGCCCGGTGCCTCATCAGCCTCAGGTTCTGTTTTCGCCTGTCAGCACCTCTTGCTCTCTGACCTCTATCACCCCGACCCCCTGGTCCCACCCTTCCTCTTCTCCCTTCTGTAGGCTTCTTTCCTGCCTCTCTGTCCTTCTCTCCCACCATCAGCTGTCACCTTTCTCTTTGGGGCCCTTTATTCTTTATTCTAGAAGTGCTGGTGAAACCATGGTTATAACCCTCATCGGCCAACCTACAGTTCAGTGGTTCAAACCCAGCAGCCGCTCCTAGGGAGGAGAATGTGGCAGACCACTTCCTTAAAGATTTACAGCCTTGGGAGCCCCGGGGGGCAGGTCTAGCCAGCGTGCCCACAGAGCGGTCATGCTCCAGCATTGAGAGCCCTGGGTTTGGTGTCAGGCCTTTCCTTGATTGGTTGCCCACTCCTTTGTGTTTCCCTCCCTCTACCCCGCTGTGGCTTCCTTTCCCTCATCTTCTCTCCTCTGCTGACCCTGGCTTCCACCTCCCTTTTCATGCCCACCCTCCCCCCCCATCCTCTGTCCTCTCCCCAGCTGTGGGGGCCGGGGCTGGGGAGCCTAATGTTTGCCTCATCGGTCTGCTATGGCTTCTGGATACAGCACATCTGGATTCCGGGACCCAGATGTGTGGTTACCACAGCGACCTTGGTCCCTCTGGTAAATACAGGCGCCCACCCGCCCCAGAGTGGAGAAGAAAACAATTGTGTGACTTTCTTTTGTCACGAGATAGAAATGTCCTCCCTCCTCCCCTTTCCCCACACCCATGTCTCCAGGCAAAAGAAGCTCTCAGGGCCTAACTCCTCCTTTCTGGGGCTCTCTTGCCCCCTTTCAGCCCTTGCCTCGTCGTTTTCACCCATCTTGATCTCACTCAGCCCTTTCTCTCCGTGTACCCCTTCCTGGCCCCGCTCCCCAATTCTCAGCCGACCCCCTTGCCTTAGCCTCAGTGGCTCCCAACGAGTGGGTCTGAGTCATGACGGTGCAGAGGGCTCAGAAGCCCAGTCTTCTCCCTTGTCCCTCAGACAAGCCTGCAGGAGCCCACGTCATCTCTTCTGCCCATGTCTTCCGTCCCGTCCCTTGTCCCTTCCCGGGCGAGGGGAGAGAGTACAGCCCTAGGAACCAGAAACCATGGGTGAGGCGCCCCCTCGGTGCCACTAGCTAAGTCCCTGGGGCAAGTCACTGAAGGTCCATAGGTCTCTTTCCTCCGCCACAGAGCAGGTTGAGCTGCACCCTGCAGCAAAGAATGTTGTCAGCGGAAGCCCAGTACAAATGTTTTCGCTCCTTCTCCGGGGCTGACTCCTTGGATCCCAGCCTTCCTTCCCCGCTCCGTGTCCTCGGAGCCCTTTGCCTGAATTGCCCTCGTCTCCCCTGTCTGCCTTTCCCCCCCTTGCAGGTCAGGCTAGAAACCTGGAGGGTCGTTCAAGGACAGAGGCTGGGCGCTGAGGCCACCTGGACAGCGGCTTCAGAGAAGAGCCAGCGTGCACAGACCGTTCTCAATTGCTCCCCTGCTCCCCTGCTCCCCGCCCCCCCACATGGCTTCTCCCCCAACCCTTTCATTGTTCGGTATCACTCAGTGCACCTACCCAGCGGCCGCCCTGCCGTGTCCCGAGACACAAGCAGACAGGAACCGAGTTCCGCAGAAGCGTGAGATCCAGGGGTGGATCAAGCTCTAGATAATGTTTGCCTCAACCTGTGGTTCTGACTGCCTGGCAGCCAGCGGCGTCCCAAACACCCTGTAAACCCTAAACATCTGGAATCATGCACGCCCTCTGAGACTCCGGCACCCAGTGCCCAGCAGGCAGCTTCCAAGGCCCCCAGGGCCATCTTTCCAGCTCTGGCTCCTCCTCACCTCCCTCTCCAGGCCAAGATGACTTAGGGTGCACAGACTCACTAATAAAGCCAGGACACGGGGCAGAGAGCTACACGGACTTACTGGAATCAAAGAAATGCCCACCCCCGGTCACAGTGTTGAAGACCCTCCCTCACCCTCATTTCATCTACTCTCTCTCCTCTCCCTGCCCCCGCCATCCCGGGGGAGCTGCGACTGACCCCGGGTTCTGGGGCTCACGCCAAGGCAGAGGAAGGAAGCAGCGCCTAGCCCTGTCCAAGACATTGACTTCATCCTCCCATCAAAGCCAGGAAAAAACAGCCCCACACACACACCCAGACACACGGGGACACCCACGCGAGCGCCGCGAGTGTTTTGTCCTCAGCCACAGGGAGCAAACTGGGCACCTGCCCTCTGCCACATACTGTGCCCACGTGCAGTGACCCAGGAACACTGGCACACCGGCAGCCCTCCGGGGCCGTCTGGCCACAAGCACCTGTGCCCATGCGCCATGTGGCAGAACCAGGCACCGCAGGCCCCTTTCAGCCATGACTGTTAGCAGGTCAAGCTACATCCCCTCCAACATGAGGTTTGCTGGAGGCTGGAGAGACCACGCCCCTCAGTAGGAAGCCCAGGCACCAGGGGTATTTCACCTCTCTGGCAAACGCATGCTTCTTTGCTCCTCTGGGCAGTGCGCGGGAAAGAAGCCAGAGAAACGCCCGGGAGACAAATGCGGGTGTGCCTGCCTCTCCATCCGCCCTGTCCCCAGATGCCAGTCTTCCTGCCCTGCCTGAAACCAACGTAGCCTTTGCCTCCAGCCTTGAGCTCTCTCCCACCCCTGTGTCCTGCCCCCCAACTGTAACCCCCTTTCTGCTTCCCAAGCTCAGCCCTTCTCTTCATGCACGTCCCCCCAGATTTGCCTCCCGCCTCTAGTTCTTCGCCCTGCAAACCCTCCTGCTCAGGTGCCCTATCCCTGCCTCCTTTCTGTTCATATTTGACCTGCCCCGGGGCTCAGCCAAGCCTTTGGCCAGCCAGTGCCCATGGCTCACAGGCCATTGCTCTAGGGCACGTGCTAAGGTGGGGGAACAGAGAAGGCAGTGATTGGAGTTGAGATTAGGAGGGGACTGGACAGAGGGGATGGGGTGGTGTGGCTCAGGAAATGGGAGCCGGAGACAGGGAGCAGGTGGAAGGAGGCAGGGGGCTGGAGCTCAGTGGAGAGGGGGACACGGAGCCCCTAAGAAGGTTCGAAGTTCGAGACTTGAGTGGGAGGTCTCTTTCTGCCCCCCCTCCAGCAGCGGTCCCCCCCCCTGTCCCGCAGCTGCTAGGGGAGGGTTGGGGGATGGAGGGGGGGAGGTCAGAGCTGGGCGGCAGTGGGGCAGGGAGAGGACTGCGGGAAGAGTGGGTAAGGAGAGGAGACTGGGTGGAGGGGGAGATGCAACAGGTGGGGGGTAGAAGCTGGGTGGGGGTGTTAAGTTAGGCACAAATGCATTCGCGTGAAGAGTACAAATGGGGAGTCTGAAGGGCCCTGGAGGTATGACTAGGGGTGCAGGGCGAGGTGTGGCAGGTAGGGTGGAGTCCTGCGCCCAGACTGGGAAGGGGCCAGGGTAACAGGCGGGGGAGGGGGTGGCATTAAGTGACGCGGAGGCCTGGCAGGCAGGAGCAGTGGGAGGACCTGCCCTATCTGCGCTCCCCTCCCTGACCTCACTCGACGGTCGGTCCTCCCCTTCTCCTCCCCCTGCTCCCTGCAGGCGCC